TAAAACAACCTATTCAACTTTCAATAAAAATCAAGAAAGAAAAAAAAATCACAAATAATTAATAACCCATGAAAATTAATTTACTTAATTCTATTCAAGCCAAGCACTATTATCTCCCTCCCTCCCCTATTTCAAACACAAGAGGACTCCTTACTCACAAACTCCATATTTCATGCACACGTGCCACAAAAAACCAATCACACGTGTGAAAATATATATGATCACCGATCACCGGCCACCGTCTATCAAGGCCTCCAAGCGCTGGCCCAAACCACGGGCTGATCCTTCCACGAAAGGAATATTCCAGCGCCGGCTTCCGAGCACTGTGTCATTGCCCAACCTTCCTTGTACCTCCTCAACAAGGCGCGTACGTCATCGCACACCTCATCACTAAACGTCACGGGGCTAAACCCGGCCCCATGCATTCGCCTTGACCAGCGAGCGGCGGTCTCGCGCCTTTCAACAGACTCTGACGGCGCGCAGGCCACCAAATCGACGACGGCTCGACCTGCTGCCCGCTCGAGCATCAATCGCTCGTTGCTGGTCCTGGCGAAGCTCTCGTCCAGCGCCTCGAAGTAAACCCTAAACCATCTCAAGCACTCTTGAAAGCCGTGGACAAAGTCAAGCCCGTCAACCCCAACGTCGAGATCAGCCTCTTCCTCCACGAGAGTGATGATCCTCGGTCTCAAGCTCCGGAACGCAGACACCAAATAATCACGCCGGTTTCCAACGGCTTGGATTGAGTGTAGAGTGCCAACACAGTTGACGGCCAGGGCCTCATCATCTCTGATATCCAGCTCTGATAAATTCAGCTCAGAGAGATCGCCCGAGTGATGGACCGCGTTGAATTTGAAAGGCACGCCCATCAATCGGGCGAACTTCTCCATTCTGGCGCCAATTTCCTTCATTACTTTCTGCGCTGGTGCACCACCAGAGCCGTCGCTGGCTCGGGTGGCGACCACAGTAGTGAGGCGCAAATGCGGCGTCTCATCGGTTCGGGTGGCCAGGGCCTCGAGTAGCGTCGGCCACTGGGTGCAGTAAGTGTTGCTGATGTCGATTATGTGGAGCTTGGGCTCTCCATCGAAGGCTTCCATGATCGCCCCATTGCACGCCACGTGTCCGAAAGTGGTCCAAGGGCTGACCTCCTGGAACTTGAGCACCATTTTTCTGGTGGACTCGAAGGAGCACGTTTTCTCCGAGGCGGAGATTAGGGTTCGGTAGCAGCGGTCGCCGGAGTCGGTCATGCGGCTGAAAAGAGCCTGGAGGAAATAGGAGGTGAGCTTCTGGTCGGTGTCGCCGTACGGGCTGCCGAGCTCGTTGAGCATCCACATGAGCTGCTGGACGCGGGAGCTATTCTTGTCGGCGATGGCCTTGGCCGTCTCCAAGAGGAGCTCCGGGGCCCACTTGCCGTTGGAGAGCTCGAAGTTGATGAGGGCGGGTGAGAAGGAGAAATCTGTGGGTGTGGGAGTGGTTGTGGTGGTGAGGAGAGGGTTTGGGGTTGGCGGGGTTGGGTGGTTTGATGGGTAGTAGTGTTTGGAAGAAGACGAGGAGAAGTCTTCTTCATCCATGAAAAAGTTGAAGCATTCTTCGACGTCGTCGTTTTGGTGGGGGTAATTAGGGTGAGGGTTTTGATGAGGGGGGCTGAGGAAGGAGGATCTAGAGCTGCTGGAAGTAGTGGTGGTAGTTGTTGGTGTTGAGGTTCTGGTGGTGGTTGAGTTGTTGAAAGATTGATGGTGATCAGATTGGAGACTGACTAGTCTAAACAAGGTATCCATTTAACCTGCGAAGACCCACATCAATAAACTTAACTTTGAGAAAGAGAGAGAAAAGAGAAGGAGAGAGAGTGTTTGTGCTTTGGGTTGTTCGGGGACAGCAGATAGATGGGTCTTTGTGTTTTTAACTGTAGGAGACTGGGGGATAGAAAATGATTAGGATATCTTGAGGTTGGATTTTAGCTGGGTTAATTTCAATAACATAGGTTATAGGTAGGAATGAGGAGGGTTTGTTGGATAAGTAAAAAGAATATTGACACCAATAAACTAATATCCATGATAACATTGATTAGATGAAAATTTGTAATTAAGTGTCTCACAACTTGACATGTTTTACTAATTAAGCTTTACATGAAATGTAGGAAATTAATATGATTAGTGCATTATCCTGCCAAGAGGTGGACGATGAAGGTAATTGGGGAATCTTAAGTGGGTAACATTTGCTTTGCTTTTTCTTTTCTTTTGGTGTAATCGATGAGGAATATGTAGTGGGGTTGGTTTCTTTTATAGCTTAGCTTATTCTTCTTTATGGGTCTTTTTTTTTCTTTCTTTTTTTAACATGTATGGATGGACCAATCCAAGACTGAGTGAAATTATACTAAGTTTTTGGGTTGAACATAGAATCTGGAATGGACTGAGCTATATTGTTGAGAAATAGAATTCCAATCTCACAAAAAGACGAAAAAAGTCTGAGAAAAAGTTAACAGGGTCTAGATCACCAAATGGCTAGTGGATTAGCTTTTCATTCTTTGACTCTCTCTCTCTCTCTCTCTCTCTCTGGATTGGAATAGTTTGAGTGGGAGCAGGCGTGCCAATTGGGTTTTGGGGGGAGAGAGATGGAGACATAAGTAAAGCTGCCGGCGTGCATCATCATCATCATCAAAGCCACCATCACAAACCTTCAAAAAAAAAAATCATTAACCCACTCACACTCACATTTCCTTGCCCCCCAAGTTCTAAAAAGCCGTCCCCCCCTTCAAACCCTGCCAAAACTCCCACCACTTTTTTCTTTCTTAGCTGTTACATTATCAGCCCCATACACCAATGTCTCATATCTTAATCTTGGTAATAACACCAAAATGTACCCTTCAGCAAAATCCAGGGGGGCATGCCTAGCCTTCCACTTATTTTCCCTGCTTTTCCTTTCTTTTTTTCAGCCACTCATGATGAGATGTACATTTGATTGTTTATAAGCACACATGCTCTCTAATCTCACCCAACCACCAGGCTAGCTCTAGCCCTGCTAGGCCTTTGATTTCTCTAGATTACCCAACCATCATTGTTCATAGATTTACGCATTGTATAGTTTGGTACAGTTCCAAAATCTCAAGAACAAAACCCACTAGGGCAATCTGGTTCTTTATATACATACATCTATATATATATATACACACACATATATATATATATATGATTGCAACCCAAGTCCCCAAGTCAAGTCCCATCTTGATTTTTCCATTGTCCTAACCTTGTTGTTTTCAAGCTCAAACATAATTCCTTCTAGAGAGAAAATCTTTGTCTCCTCTTGGCAGAATAGGCTAGCTAGTTCCTCAAGTAATATATATTAAAGATTAGGAAAATTATATAGTTCTTGTTCTTATGTCAGTTGTCAAGGTGAGTTATAATTTTCTTGTGTGGATTCTTCTTGTTCTTGGTTTTCTTTATGAATCATTAGGAAAACTCCATGTTTGGACTCTTTGTCCCTTGTTGAGATTGAGAGTGGGTTTAAGGAAGTTTTCTTGGGAGCCATCATCATTTTTAAACCATCTTGGCATCTTCCCCTTTGAGTGTGGCCAACAGTCGAGAATTTGCCTTGGGAAAGCCACTCAATTCCCAAGAATTAACAGAAGATAATATTCCCTCTGAAGAATTCCAACCCCACTTTCAAACATATGGTAAAAAATAATAAACAATGAACATGATTTAATATAGAATTTTCCATAAATAATTATTTATTTGCTTGGCCCATTATGGTATATTTCTCATCAGATAAATTAGTAAGGAGAGAAGGGAAGAAGACAAACTTTGAATATGAAGGCTAAAACTTAAGGGATGTTTTGTTTTAATTAGTATTATTTGTTATTATTACATGAATAATATAGATGAAATGTCACTGCCACAATAATAATACAAAATTTGTTTCGGATTAGGATGGCGATGTGGCAACTTGTTATGTTCTTAGTCATGAGTTTAGAAAACCATTATCTTTTCTAGTAATTTTAAAAAAGAATTGAACGTACGTAGATTATGTTTGTCATGACTCATGAGTTTATGGAAATTAAAAATAATTATAGCTCATCGTCCGTCCATGGACCACAGTTTAATTATCGTGCTAATTAAGGTGACGATTTACAATTAAGTGGCATGAGACAACTAGTTACCAAGTTGTTGTCATGACCATGTCTCGGCCTTTTTCCTAGTCATTCTTCGGAACTAAATATTTTAAGAGATTATTATTCTTTTTCTTCTCTTTGTTGATGATGTTGAACGACCCACTTGTCGGGAAATTGTTATCAAAATTGAGTTATTATTATTAATATTATGAAGTCATGTGGGTGGTAATTTAACTACATGATTAGTCTCTTCTCACGCGGTTCACGGCAAATGAATTTTTTGGTTGTTTTGTAGACATTTATTTATTTTATTAGAAGAAATGTAAAACTTAACGAAAACTAACACAAAAAATATCCAAGGAAAGAAATGAATGTTGTGACTGAAAAGAAAAAAAGATCACTTATTATTTATGCATTAACAAAGACAATCTCCTTTTCTTCTCTTTGTTGATGACGATTAGATGCTTGAAATACGATATCAAATTGCAGAAATGGCTTGATGAATTCAAGTGCTTTTCATTCTCTCTCTCAAGTTCTAATATATATCTTGAGCTCTGCAACTTTTATCATCAATTTATGGATTCGTAATTCTGAAAAGAAGATATTGTTTGAGCTCCATGTAGTGATTCAGAGATATGTTCCCTGCTTCTGCCCGCTGTCATCAGCACAGAAGCAGCAGGCATGTGCTTAATTACTAGACCACCCTTCTCAAAAATATTTTAATATCCTAAAATCAATTAGTTCTTCTAGCTAGTTGAGAATTTGAACTTGAGAAATGTTTTAAAGAAAAATATGGGTGTAAGGGAGTGGACACACTGGCCAATGTCATTTCACCTCTCTCTCTCTCTCTCTCTCTCTCTCTCTCTCTCTATGTGTTCATGATTTAAACAATGTCAATCCTGTAATTCAAAACTTCTGTTGTTGCTTTGAAGTACAATCGTAGACAGTTTTTATCCCTCCGCACGCTCCACATCTGCTCTTTTTATACCTCAAAAGAACAGATTACAACGCTCTTTCTACTCGCTCATCCAAAACACTATCTACATTTGGTACAATACAACATTTGGGACATTTACCAATTACCATGAAGAAAAATTATTGTAGTTTGTTGCGGAAACTCCCAATTTCCTTTTCTTTGTCGAAGCAAGCTCCGTCGAACCAGCATTAACTGCAGCAGATTCAGGTAGAGCACTCCTTGCTTTCAAGTACTTCCCAACACCACCACCACCAGCAGATCCAGATTCTACTGTTCCTGTAGCCGGATTGCTATACCAAGACCCAATCTTGTCCTGAGAGTAACAACAAATTAGTTGCATTATTATTGTAAAAGGGGGAGTAAGATATGATAAGCACAGGGACCAATTTAAGGATCTAATAACAAACCTTATCTTCATCCTCAGCTTTCTCCTCAGCTTTGGCCTCTTCTTCCCCTTCATCAGGCTCTGTGTAAGGATTAACAAAAATTGTGACACCTGTTATCTTAATTTCCTCCTGCACAAGACACAGCAGAAAAATGGAAGTGAGGCCTGTGAATGCAAGAGCTTTAACATAGTTGAAACAATATTCAGCAAGTTGTATGTTGACCAACATAATTGAATGTTTGAAACCCATGGAACTCTTTCAGCTACTACTGATAATAAGATGAACATATATAGATATTTACACAGCTGTGTGCATAAACCCGTGCACGTTCAAAGACAGATACACAAATTAGGCAATGATGGAACTAGATTTGGACTGTATATGTTAAAAAATGGCATAGAGAACCTACAATCTTTTGTTGTGGCTTTCCATACCGTCTATGCCAGTATAATTAAGACCAAGAGTGACAATTTAAGAGAGTCATTTTTAAACACATATAGGTATCTAGTGTTGAACAAGAAATAAATAATAAACTTACCAAAGGTTGGTCATTGTCATCAACAGGAACCTTTTCCATTGTTGCCAGTGTTGTCAAGCCACCAACGACTCCACCAAAAACCGTGTGCTTAAAGTTCAAATGATTTGCAGACTTGTAAAGGATGAAGAACTGGGAGCCATTAGTGTGGGGCCCACTGTTAGCCATACTGACAACACCCCTTCCAGAGTGAAGTAACTTGGAGTTCAATTCATCATTAAAAGGCTTTCCCCATATAGATTCTCCTCCTTTTCCGGTACCAGTAGGATCACCACCTTGAATCATAAAATTCCTATATAATAAAAGAGAATAATAGATCTTCAACTGTGGTCATATTGATCAACAAAGTACAAAATACAGAACTTAAACTAGAACATTCCACCATACCTAATGCTTCTGTGAAAAGCTACTCCATTATAATAGCCACGTTCACAAAGAGTTATGAAGTTCTCACAAGCCCTGGGGGTTATATCACAGTGTAGCTCAATGTTCAAATCACCATGTGTTGTACGTAGCTGTACATATCCTTTCTTTTTCGGATTCTTCTCAACTTTGACATATTCAAATTCATTTTCAGTAACAGGATCAAAGGCGGTAGAAGTGAAGGATCTCGAAGCAGCACCAGTGGTGAATTTGCTCTTTACCTGAATTAATACCCGTGTTATAACAGACATATAGCAAAGATAATTGATGCTGGAAGAACAGGATTTTTATTAAAACTAGAACTGAATTCATTTTAATAATCATACTGGAACTCCTAACATTTAGAATTGGGTAGAAGAGATTATAAATAAAATTCACTGACCATCTTTGCATTCACTGGTGCCCTCTCACCAGCCTTGTGCATAGCTATTCGAGCTGCAGTTTTATCACTTGATGTGGCTTTTGCAGCAGCAGCACTTCTTCCATGCACTGAAGCAGAAGCAGCATCTACAATACTGTACGCCTGAGGAGCCTCCCCATTCGAATTTGATTTAGGATCCTCTTTAATACGTGATCTTGCAGCTAAAATGGCTTCAAGTGCAGCAGCCCGTTCATTTTGTGCCTTGCTGCCACCTCCTCCATGCAGAGCAGTTTGCCTTCCTTTTTCAGTTCCAAGCTCTTTGAGCATCTGTTTGACATCTCCAGTTACATTTATGTTATAGGTTGGGTCGGAACTCATTCTCTTGAATTCTGAAGAAGAGAAGTAAAGAAACAAAAAAATAAGATGACACAATAAAAAATTCATTACAACAAAAAGAATACCTCAGTTGACCCACAATGGTAATGAAACCTCTAGCTCACCTTCATCATCAATTTTCAAACTATTTTTAACATGATCGAATTCCACGAGAACCTTGCTATCAAGTGCATTGGGATTCTGCAAAGACCATCCATAAAATCTGTGAGATATTGACACACAGAACAAAGACTTACAAGAGTTTAGTACAACAAAACAGGATTTATCTGAAACGTATCATGTACCTGAATGGTTATCAGATCTTGCCTAGAAAATGGTTCATCTGTGAGGAGCTCCTTCCAGTTCTTGGTCTTGATGTTTAGTTCTTTAACTGCCTACAAAGCAAAAGCAAAATGATTAAAGTCTACAAAACAGCTATATGTATGACATACACATAGAGAAAAATACATTAAGCAAGAGCAAGATAACAAACCTCATAGCAGAAGACATTTCCTGTTGTCTTCACAGCAACTATGTGTGTAAATTCAGTGAAAACCTTGTTTAAAACAGGGCATTGAAACTCTCCTGCACAAAAAGCGAGAATAGGTTTACAATCATCTAAGACAAGATACCAAAACAAAGACTGAACTGCCAAAACAGGATTATAAAACTGGTGAAGCGGACAAAAAAACCATCTAGCCAACATAGTCACATGTCTGTACTGAGAAAAACATATTTGGAAAATTATGCTGATCTCCAACTCACAGGTCTGAGATATGCAAATAAATTTCCAGCACAACTTGATTCAAATTATGTACTTTAACAGACTTGGCCCCTCTTGAATGTCACACCTAAAAAAATTTAAGCTCGGGCTTGTTTCTTTTACAAGAAAAGCTCTCAACATAAGATTGAAAAAATGAACCTCAATCCACTATGACAGTTCCAGTTTAGATTGAATTCCAACTTCACCTAAGCTAAAGGCGGTCTTATCCCATATTTTCTAGCATCATGCATGAACCACTATCAACTCTATCATTGAGTGCGTACTTCGTAAATATGTACTGAAAAGTAGAGTTAACAAGCACAAACCATCAGCATTCTTGTGGAACGTTAGTGGTATGAGCTCCTCCTGCTTCAATGGAGTTCCGGTGACGGGATGCTTTCCGTACTTTCGGATATAGGGAATTATATTCCTGCACCCATTTCCCAAAATCCAAAAACAACATACATGTCACATTTAACCTCCAAAAAAAATAGCGATAATGAAGTTTGAAACAATCACAGGAAAAAAGAATCAGATGAACTCACAGTATATCGAAAACACTGCCGTCTGCCGTGCACACTGGGTCTTCAAAAGGCGTAAACGTAAGCCTGCATACAGAATTGAACAAAAGCACCAAACTTCAAAGAGGGCAATGAAAAAAAAACCGAACTTTACATATACAAATATACGAATTTAAGAGAGAGAGAGAGAGAGAGAGAGAGAGAGAGAGAGAGTACGCGCAGCAATAGAACGGGAGGCGTTTGAAAGGAGTGGAGGTAGACTTGGCTTTGGCGCCACCCCATTCGGTGGCCCACTCCGTCTTGGTGATGAACATTCGATCTTTGCTGTGCTGTTTCTTCCCCATTCTGTATTATCTGTACGGAAAATGACCTTACTGGGTTCAGATTTCTAATTAGGGTTTTCCTGATTTTCCCAATTGAATCTCTCTGTTATCTCTGGGTAATCGCAACCAATCAGAATCTGAACTCCCCTAGGGTTTCTGTTTTGAAGCTGCAACTGAGGCGGTGTGGCGCAGCCTACGTCTATTTCCCAGACTGTGAAGAAAATCGTTTTGCCGTCGATGTTTCGCGGTTATGGTAAAAACTACGTCGTTTGGTGTTTTCCTTTTTGGTCGAATGTCGTTTCTTTTAAAAGATCAGTATTTTGGGTAAAAATAAGCATGTCGTACAACTAAGCCCATATTTTGACAGCCCAATGGGTCTAGGCTTATAAGCTCAAGACTAACCTGAAACCCAGAATTTGTATCAGTAGAAATGGGCGAGTTCAGCAGCAGCAGCAGCAGTAGCGAGGAAGATGGAGATTCGGAATGGAAGGCAGCCATCAACTCGGCGGCTGCGGGTGCCTCCTC